CTTGTGTGTGGTTGTGTGTGCCTGCAGAAACACAAAGCAAAGAAGTAGAAAAGAGGGAGCAGAGTATGTGGAGGGACGCACAAAAATGTACAGCAGAGACGCATGGCGGAAACAACAGGAAGAGGACCGCTCAAACTCATGACTGCACTGCAGCCCAAGCAGCGGCAATCCACACAAGATTTATCCAAAACAAAAACCATCCCCTTCGTCTTATGTAAACCCCATCACACAAAATAATTATAAAAAAGAAATCGTCCATTACTGTTCCACACAAATTTAAAAATCGCCTGGCTGCCGTGTGGCCACACCGAACTGTCCGTATATATTTTGCCCGAAAAGAAAATTAAAAAGATGGTTGCGTGTGTTTCAACCGTCCGACCCTCCATGTGTCCGCACATCGTTTATATTTCACGGGGTCATCCGCGTGTTGCTGCTCCCCTCAGCCCTCTCATCGGCGTGCGAGTGCGGCCCGCAGAGCACAGTCACTCGTGTGTGTGGGGACTGAGAGAAGCACGCAGACATGACGGGAGTCGCGTCACTCCATCGGGAGAGTGAGCGCAGCAAAAGAAAAAAATCATCAGGAGGGAGAGAAATGCTGACGGGACTGCCAGCGCGTGAAATGAACACGAAAAGAAGAAAAAAAAAAACACGGCGGCAGGGTGTGGCTGTGTGTGTGTGGCGCTGCGGGTGTCTGCCAGCCCTGGCCGCAAGAAAACAAAACAAGAGGGAAGAAATGTGTGCTCCGCCCCACAGGCCCTCGTCGCACGCCCACACGTCACGGCTCCCTCAGCGCGCCGTTCGTCGCGGCCCCTCCTCATGCGTGCAGCAGGCGAGGCGCACAGGGCCGTCGTCGTGAGCGTGTCGGTGGTGTGCGAGTGGAGCAGTTGGGCGGGAAACACACGGCACCCCTCACAGGAAGAGTGCAGCAACAAACAATTAAAGAGGGAAGAGTAGAGAAGAAAAAACGTCCACAGTGATTGCCCCAATAGCAAAAATAGAAGGAATGGGGGAGAGATAAAAAAAAGAAAAAAACAACTTAAAAACGCAAATAAAGCAAAAAAAGTAAATAAAAGTTATTTAGGAAAAGAAATTCATAGCCAGGTGTGTGTGTCGGTGCAGGGGAGGTCGCAAGTGTCCCACGCGGCAGCCAGTCACTCCTCACAGAGCCGCAAACCCCCACAGTCCCAACAGAAGAAGCAGCGATGGCAGCAGTCCGCTCTCACGCACAGTGCCGCCATCACCTCTTGCTTCTCCAGCGGCATGGGAGTTCGAAGCCGCCGCCTTCGCCACACTTCCCTGCGATGTGGTCGCCGGAACTTCTTGTGTAGTGGCAGATTCCTCCGCCGTTGCATTTTGCCCTTTGCCTTCGTGTTGAGGCTGCTGCAAGGTCATTTGCTCCACCGGAGCTTCAGGAAGTATCGTTGCAGGAGGCGCCGCATTTTGATTCCTTGCCACAAATGGAGAAGCAGGCTCCGCTGATGGTGAATCGGTAACTTCTTCCACCTCGGCATTCCCACCTGAAAAAGTCAACGGGCGGTTGTACAGCAGGACGTTCGTTACCGTCACAAACACGCCTTCTCGGCTTTCTGTGTTGTCTGCAATGCCACCATCCCCTCCAATGTAGAAGTGCGAGATCCCTTCCGAATCCGTATTTTCCAATTGACATTGCGCATCCTCACCCACACGCACACCATCGACGTACGCGGAGCCATGGGTGCCGTTCCGTAGCACAATGGCCACTTGGTGTTTTGTCCCTCGCTTCCATGTGCTGCTTATTTCCTTGTTCGTTTCGTCACCGCACAGCAACTGCCACTTCCCTCCGCCGTTGTACGACAGTCCCAGGAGCACAGGATTATTTTCAACGCCAGCCATCTTCGCACCCAACAAAGGAATGGGGGTATATTCCGTCGGCTCACCGTCAACAGACACCGTCGCCACAAGAGTGAAGTTGTAGTTCGCAAAGTGGTACAGCTGATTCTGCCCTTGACTGCCAACAGGCCACTCCGCCCACGCTCCCCGGAACGTCACACCATCTGTCGTCTTCTTCGCCCTACCTTTATTATTTACTGTGGCGTTCACGCCGAGGTACTCGTCCCTCCACGTGTTTTCAGAGAAGTTGCCGGACAAAAAGCCAACCAGCCCATCCGTGATCTTACCAGTAGTGCAGGCGATTTCAGTCAAGGCAACCTTCCCAGCAAGTAAAGTGGTGCACAGCTGGGAGACACGTTCGTCCACTTTCTTCCACGTCGTCAGCACCTCCTTCACCTTCTCCAGCTGCACAGTCAGGCGCACAGTAACCATATCATGTGATAGTTCGTGATTAACTTTCTTCTTCTTCTCGTACAGTGCAATCAACTTCTCCCCATTATTATCATTACTTTCAGCACTTTTGTACAACAAGAAGCTTGTGGTGACGTCATCATCTTCCTCGGATACCGGCCCAATATCAACAATGTGCGTGTTGTCCGTCAGCCAAAGATGGAGTTCGCCCTTTCCATTGCCGTCCTTACTTGAATACACCGGCAGAGTGACGAGCATCACATCCCTGTTATCGCCAATCTTCGCTGTGGTGAACCCGCTCCTAACGCCCCACTCATTTCCCTCGTCGTTGCCCCACACGCGCGAGAGTGTCCCGAGTGCCTCCGTCCACGAATCCCCCTTGTCACCGGACTCGTACACCCTCTGGCGGCCACCATCACACGCAGTCATCATCATGAGTTTGTCCTTCTCCCAATTCACGACGGAGGGATCACTGCAGCCATGGGCAGACATCCCCTTCGAAAGCTTCCAACTATTATTATCCGGGAAGTATATGAACAGTGAGACGGTGTATCCCCCTTCAGCTGTATTTTCTTCATCCGCCTCCCCCGTTCTATACACCTCGCCTTCCATAGGGAACACAAGCGTACCGTCCTCCATCTTAACACCCGATCCACCGCTCCCAAGCGGTGCTGTCACATATCCATATTGTTCAGTATTAGAAGTGATCGGGAGAGCGTCAACATCAGTCCAATAAATTCTTTTGTTACGGCCATCCTCAACAATACTGACGTTCCCTCTCGCCAGTAAAAGCCCCCATTCATCTGTTATATCCTCCCCAGCAGCAGCGACACCATCAAGGTTGTAGGTTCCAGCCAGCATGTAAATATCACTTCCATGCACAACTGTTGTTGGCTTACTCACAAGTGCTTGCGCTCCGCTTTCAGAGACAGAATCATCCACTGCTTGGTTGGGGCATTCCTCTTTTCCAGAAGAACATTCCCCCAGTACTTGTGTCTTGAGTTTAGTTTTATCCAGCTCCTTGCTTGTTTGTTTATCGGTCAACGTCAGGAGTTCCGAGGCAATCCCAGTAAAAACGCCTTCTACCCCCCTCGTGAACAGCGCCTCGGCAACGGCAAACACATCACCATTCAATTCAACAAGACTGGGAAAAAAGAGCAAATTCACCGTTCCCTTATCTGTCGTGTCTTTCCAATGAAACAATTTCCTGGTTGAAAGTTCCGAATCTGACAGCGTCTTCTCATTGGATGCAGCGCTACTGCCGCAGCACATCATCACAACGAGGAGTAGCACCGCAGAGTAGAAGAGATGCCGGTACATGTTGGGCCTCTGCGGTTCACTCTCTCCTCCTTCCCTCCTCATGCCGCTCGATCCGGTCACGCGGCGACGGTTGTGTGTGCAGGGTGCCTTCACTGCAACAACACGTGAGAGCATATAAATATGTGTGTGGGCGGTGTGTGTGTGTTGTTGGTCCTTTCAGAGCCCTCCAATTTCACAGTAGCGTTTAGCGCTTGATTTCCTTCTTCGTGTGAGAGTGAAAGAAATAGAGAGAAACACGCCAAGAAAAGAGGTGACACAGTAAGCACCGCCACCCATCCACAGTGAGTGGCATCATCATCCCCACCGCAGCCACTCCCAACAACAACAACTCACGCACACAGACACACGGAACAGGAGATGGAAGAACAGTGCAAAGAGAACACACAGCGACGGCCACCAGCAGAAGAAGCAGGAGTCACGGCTGGTGTGTTGCTATTCGTCACGCGTCAGCACACACCGAGCAACGCCCACACACAAGAAACAACCATCAATATCCAAAACCCACCGTCTCCCCTCGCAGCACCCACGCGCTGCAACCAGTCGTATTACTGCTGTCTCCTCCAACGCACACGCACATCATTCCACACAGCCGGAAAATCCCCCGCCAACGGATACACAACGGCAGTGCCACATCGGCAGGTACAGCTGTTGGGAGAGAGTCAATATACACTCGTCCCAGGCATCCTCAACGCCATATGACTCACTGACTGTACGCCACCACCAACATCCGTATCACGTCAACGAGGCAAATCGCGGGCTCACACCCTTTTCGCAAAAGCAACCGCAGCCACAGTCTTGTGTCCGCATTCCCATCGTTCATTCTTCTCCACAGCGTGAGCGGCATGTCGTGTGTATATGTGTATGTATTTGTGTGTTTGTCAGTGCCTATACTTGCAGAGCAGCTGTGCACCACAAGAGAGTCTGAAGAAAGAAATGGCAGAGAGAGGCAGATAGCACACACGCAAATTACTCATATCACCACACACACACACACGCAGCCGCGGAATGGGTGCACTCAACCACAAAATCAAAAAGGAAAACAAAACAAAAAGCCGAAGCGTGGGACGACCAGCGCACACACACTCTCATTACTCCCGTAAAGCAAAACACACACACAGAGGGAGAGAGAGAGAGAGGTCGCCCACTCAATGCAATAAAAACAAAACAGAAACAGTTACGGTGCTCCGCCCATGCAGCCAGGCAGGACGGCAGCAGTGCGTGTCGTGCAAAAGAGAGCACCAACGGGCCTGCATGGGTGTGCATGCATATATACAATGGGCACATTATGTGTGTGCTTCGTGGGGTGAGGTGAGGGCGAGAGTCCATGCAAGGGGACACACACACAGAGAGAGAAGGACGAGTGTGTGTGCGGGCGGTGCACGGCTCTCTCACACTCACTCTCACGCGGCCACCACCGCAGCAGCAGCCGCACGCGCAACAACAATAAGAAGCTGAAGAAGCAAAAGAGGGGAGGTGGTGTGGGAGACCGCGGTGCTGCTGTCACTCTCAACGTCTGCGGTTTCCTTGCCCTCCGTTGCACTCTTAGGGTTAGTTGTTGGAGCATTCTTCTCTCCTGTGAAGGTTACGGTGCCGTTTTTGTTTGGGTGGCTTACATCATGAGTGGTCGGTTTGGCCGTTGTAATAGTTTCAGGTTCTGCAGCTGAAGGACTTGGAGTGGGACTCTCACCGTCGCGCGATCCCTCATTTTTTCCATCGGTATTGTTAAGGGATGCAATTGGGGATCCTACACGGGCAGTGTTGGCAGTCGCCTCACTGGTTGCCGCGTCGTCAATAGAGGGACTGCTAGCATCCTCCGACGCCAGAGTGTCAATACCGCCAGCATCGGGCTTCAGAGCTTGATCAGTTGTGTTTTTGGTTTCACTGCCTTCATTTGGGTTCCGTGTGGCACGTGAATGTTCGGGAGTTTCTTCAGCTGTCAGTTCCTCTTTTGAGTTCACTGTTTTATTCGCTGTCGGCACTGTTGGCGGTGATGGCTGTGCTTTTGGTGCCGCTGGAGCGTCTGGTAATTGTGTGTCAATACCATCAATTGCTTTTGGATTTTTATGATTTTGATTTATATTTGGGTCTGCCAGGTCTGTGTCCATCCCTTTCAAATGAGTGGCAATGGTTTCCTGACTATCCAATAGAACCTCCCCATCGGTAGTCAAGGGTTTGACAGTAGAACCATCATTCTTCTCTTTACAAATAGATTTATCGGGTGGTGCTTGATCAAAGCTTCCTCCATCTGACACGTCTCGTTCACTGGGATGAGAATCACCCTCAGACGCAGTTTTCATTGTCTTTGTTTTATCCGTTTTCACTCCGTTTTCCCCAGAGACGCCTGACCCCGTCCTAGAATCACCAATACCAGACCGAGAAAGGGAAACTGACTCCTCTTCCGTACATCTACAGTAGGCACTACACCACAGCACGCAGAGGGCACACACCAGCAGCACACGGCCAGTCATCATCGCCATCACTCCTGTCACTTGCGTGTAGCCTTCAGCACAAAATAACTCCCCGTCAACGCAGAGTAAAAGCAAAAGGAGAAACAAGTCACACAGCCACGCACCGTCCCATCCAGCAATGAGAGTCACGCACCACAACAACAATTAGTCGGGCGCGGTTCACCAACAATCAAAAAAAAAGAGGAGCGCTCCTCGCCGTGCACCGTTCCTCACACTCCCACAGTCACTGTTGCTGTTACTCCCTCCCCTCAGGCCCTCACAGGCACGCCGCGCTCACTCCAACACGCCCCTCCAGCACAGGCCTCGGGATCGTCGGACCCTCTCACCACACGCAGCCGTCATGCGCTCCCGCTGCGCCGCAACGTTCGCCACCTCCTCCCTCAGTCCGGCAGCTCCGTGTCCTCCACGTCCCTCACAATCGCCGGCATGCCCCGGCCGCGCAACACACACAGCACCACAACGTCGTGCCGCCCCTCCTCTGCAATCATGAGCGCTACGCCCAACGCGTGCTGGCGCACGTGCTCCATGCGCCGCAACCACGCGGCCGACCAGGTTGGCCGTCATGCACTGCATCTTGTTGTCCTCCTTGTGCTTGGAGCAAACCTTCACATCCTCTCAATCCACGGCCTGCTGCTGCAAGAGGTGCGGCGTAGCAACCGTGTGGATGTCCGTGTGGCCGTGCTTGCGTTTCAACACGTCCAGCCCGAACAGGCTCGGCGGCAGTTCGTCCAGCGGGTTCGGCTTCTCCTGCCATCTGTGTGTTGGTGTTGCGGCAGGGCGGTGTGTGTGTGTGTGTGTGTGTGTGTCGTGCGTGGTGTGCGGCGTGCGGTGCATGCCTGGCTGCTGCCCTCTCGTCATGTGGTGTGCCCTCTGTGTGTGTCTGTTGTTCCTCTCGTCTCCCCTGTTGCTCTCCATGTCCCTCACTGCGCGGCTCAGCTCCACACCACTGAACGACCACACTCACCATGATGATGACGTGCCGTCTGCTGTGCGCCCTGTTGGTACTTGCCCTGTGCTGCTGCCCGTCCGTGTGCGTGGCAGAGACTGTTGGAGACATTTCCGCCGGCTCGGGCATGTCGCCCCCTCAGCCAAAAGCGCGAGATAATCCCGATAATGGACAGGATTCAGACGGACAATGGTGCGGAACTGGCAGATAGTAGGAGAGTTGAGGAAGGGTTACGAAATGGGGGCTCGACTCCTCTAAAGTGACAAGAGAACACTGTAGAGGTACAGAAACCAAATACAGAGGCTGGTGCGTTACAGTCGGGAAGTGCGGCGTCCGGTGCAGGACAGGTTTTAAACGAAAAGCCCGGTTCGATACAGGTATCAGGTACGGCTGTTGAGGGACAGGATGGGAAAAAAGCCGATAAGGAAATAAAAGCAACTACTTCCACGACGTCCACGACGACGACGAAGGCGCCAACTACGACTACGACGACCACTGCGCCAGAGGCACCAAGCACTACGAGCACAGCAACTACAACGACCACGACCACCCGCGCACCGTCACGTCTCCGCGAAATCGACGGCAGCCTTAGCAGCTCTGCGTGGGTGTGTGCCCCGCTGCTGCTCGCAGTATCCGCGCTGGCGTACACCACTGTGGGCTGAAAGGGAGCATGGGCTGTGCGTGCCAGCACTCAGCCACGGGGACATGTGTAAGTCCACTTTGGTCCGATGTATGAAGTAAGAGTAATTACGCTGATTGTTCTTTGCTTTGTTTGCTTCCGCTGCCCTGCTGCGCGCTCCGCGTTGCTTCCCACATCCGCCACGTTGAACGCATCCCAGACACACTCATATGCACGAGACGCACACGACTTTTTGCGTGGATGCACTGTTGAGGATGGGTGCATGCGCACTGGTGCCACTTGGGTGCAGATTTTTGTGTTTTTACTGTTTTGCTTTACTGCTGCCTGTTTACTTTTCTTTGCTTTTTTGTTGCTTTGTGTGTTTTTATTGCTGTTAAATTGTGCAGGGCTTTGTACGTTTTTTCACTTTCGTTGGTTCAATATTTTTCATGAAATGCGTGCTGCTTCTGCTGGCGTTTTTTACTGTGCCGTTTTTTTTTTTTTTTTTGCTTTTGCTCTGCGTTGACGTGTTGTTAGTTTGTGCTGAAGTCTATACGCAAGTGACAGGAGTGATGGCGATGATGAGGACTGGCCGTGTGCTGCTGGTGTGTGTCCTCTGCGTGCTGTGGTGCGGTGCCTGCGGTGGCTACGGTAGATGTACGGTGGGCCACTGCGCTCTTGCTGAATTGGACGACGCGAAGTTTGCAAAGGGAATGGATGGTGAAGTGGTGCTTATGAAGAGGGACTGCGTGCCAACTACAGCCTTACGGGGAGTAGTGACGGCAGTACCGGCTGCTGGGGACAGCGATGAGCTGGGTTCTCCGGATGCTGGCGTTGGCACCAGCGGAAAGCAGAAAGTTGATGCAGAAGAATCAGCGGTTGTTTTTGCAGGGAGCGAACCGACGCCCGGCGGCTGTGGGGCCGTGTCAACGGCTTCATCTCCTGCTTCTGCTGATACAATCGCCGCCAGCAGTACTCCTGTCTCGGGTGCTGGTGGTGCTGTTGGTCCCAAACAGCAGCCGGCAGTTGTCTCCGGCTTCCAATACGATTTTTCCTTTGGAGGACGTGAGGGAAAAGAAGGGGAGGAGGCAGGCTCAGCAGGCCGCGGCGAAGAGCCGTCAGTTTCGAGTGTGTGCTCTCAGCCGCCACTTGTTGCTGTGGATTTGACAATTTGCACCGTGGACCAGAACAAGGAACAAAACGACAATGCGTCATTTGACACCGATCATCAAATGGCGACACAACACGAGGAAGGAGTACCACACGTGCCAGGGAAAAGAGCGAGCGTACAGACGCTTCCAGTACCAACGCCGGCAGGAGGACAACCAGGGCATGCGACGCAGCCGTCCGAGGAATTAGAAGAGCATGCGACTGCACCCAACTCGGGTCCCACACGGGACGCATTGAACGGCGACAGTCAAGAGCAAACACCGCAGCCTCAAACACCGACTGACAATAAACAGAGTTTGCCCGTGTTGCAGGGATTGTCAGAAGGTGTTCAGGAGAACCAGAATAATATGGAAAATATAAGAAAAGGAAATCAGGTGGATTCGACTGGCAACACGCAAAATAAAGAGCATGACTCTGCAGCTGCAACACATGAATTATTGACCGCTTCAATCAACACCCGTCTTTCTGGAGCTCCGGGAAATGAATCCAATACAACGTTGCTTTCTGGAACTTTGCGATCGTCCACGGCTGGTACCGAAGAACAGGCAAAAGCAGGGTCAATGCCCCTGCGACAGCCAAAACCACCGGAAGAAAAATTAATATCCGAGGAATTGCCGCCAACAGCAACAGAAGTAGAGGCACCAGGAGGTCCATCAGCACCGCCACCGAAATCACTTCCACAGAGCGCACTGCCATCCTCAAAGAAAGTCCCAGATACCACGCAGTCAACTGAAGATCCGCAGTCAAAAGGCGTTGAGCCAACAACAGATGCAAGGCAGAATGCAATAACTGAGGGTCAGGCTGAAACAACCTCACCATCTTCTCCTGCGGATGATGCTGCCGCCAATGACGCTGACGAAAGCAATGCAGAGATTGCAAACGATGGTTCAGCAGTCAATGCTGGGGTGCCGGAGGAAGAACCAAATCAAGAACAAGTGGATGGCAGCGAGAAACAAACATCATTTACATCCACTGCCAAAAAACATAATGCAACGATTGAAGACAGTGACAGCAGCACCGCGGTCTCCCACACCACCTCCCCTCTTTTGCCTCTTCTTCTTGTTGTTGTTGCGTGTGCGGCTGCGGCTGCGGTGGCGGCCGCGTGAGAGTGAGGGAGAGAGAGCCATGCACCGCCCGCACACACACTCGTCCTTCTCTCTCTGTGTGTGTGTCCCCTTGCATGGACTCTCGCCCTCACCTCACCCCACGAAGCACACACAATAATGTGCCCATTGTATATATGCATGCACACCCATGCAGGCCCGTTGGTGCTCTCTTTTGCACGACACGCACCGCTGCCGTCCTGCCTGGCTGCATGGGCGGAGCACCGTGAGGTTTTTAAAATTCTTTTTTTTTTTTTTGTTTAAAATGTTTTGTTTTATTTATATATTAATCTCCCCACATCCTTTCTTTGCTTTTTTGCTTTTGGGGCAATCACTATGTACGTTTTTCTTTTTTCTTCTCTACTCTTCCCTTTTTAATTGTTTCTTTCTGCACTCTTCCTGTGAGGGGTGCCGTGTGTTTCCCGCCCAACTGCTCCACTCGCACACCACCGACACGCTCATGACGACGGCCCTGTGCGCCTCGCCTGCTGCACGCATGAGGAGGGGCCGCGACGAACGGCGCGCTGAGGGAGCCGTGACGTGTGGGCGTGCGACGAGGGCCTGTGGGGCGGAGCACACATTGCTTTTTCTCTTGTTTTGTTTTGTTTGCTTTTTACTTCCCACACGTGGTGCCGGCTCCGCGACTGTGCGTCCCACGGACTGCATGAAAGGATGTTTGGAAGAACAGGCCGGATGCCGCGTGAAATGTGAGGAATGCTGTGTGGGCTGGTGGAACAGTAGAGTCTTTTCTTTGACTTCTTTTTCCTTTTACAGGCAATATGCATGCACAAACACATGACTGTATGGTACTCCTTGGAACATGAAATTGGCCTTTTTCCGAATCGTTTTTTCTTTCTATATTTTTGGGAGTTCTTGTGGACTCCCATCTTTTTTTTTTTTTGTTATAGGCATCGATGGTCCGCGACGACGATTGTTTGTGTTCCCCATTGCGATGGCACGAGGGTGACTGGGCGCCGGCCTGCTGAGTGCACTCGGAGTGGAGCGGACTGTGTGCGCCGTGCCTCACTGTGAGTGTGGGACGCCACCCACCACTACCTGCTGTGGGGCGTAATTCCAATCTGTCGGGGAAGGGAGAAGTACAGCGCAGTGCTGTGGAGTTGTATTCGCCCTGTCCCTCTCTTTGCCGCCATGTGTGTGCGGTGCGCATGGCTTTTTCTTGCGGTGCGACGTGGATGGCGTTGCCTCTGCGTGCGTTGTGCGGCGGGCTTTTCTTCTCCATGTCTTTGCCCTTTTGTGTGTGGAAAAGTTGTGGGAGAGGATATGTGTGCGGGAGTGAGCGTGGGTGGCTGTCAGCCTCGCCCCGCGCATTGGAGAATTCCATACACGTGGCTTTGCTTGACGGCGTTTCGCGGCACCCAGGGTGTGGCGAGGATGAGGGTGGGGAGGATCTGTTGTGGGCAGAAGGTGGATGGATGACACAGTCCCCTTCCGTGTCCTTCCCTGTGTTGTTGGCAGTACATACTGAGAGCGTAAACTTGAGCGAGTGCGGGATGAAACGTTTATGCCGCTTTGTGTGTGCTACTCAATCGTCGTCATTGCAGGCGGTCGTCACGGTGCGTTGCGGTGCGGTGCCGTTTGATGAGGGAGGGGCGCGATGCCACGGCTGCTGCGCACCACGACCATTTATTGCCTCTGCACCGTCATTGTTGTTTTTCAGTTTGTGTGATTTTTTTCGCGCTCGCATAATGTTTTCTTTTGCTCCACGATGAATTTGTTGTGGGAGCTTTGATTTTGGTGTCTGCTTCACGGCGCTTCGCCTTGTGTGTCGGTTGCGGTGCTTCCACGTGGTGCCAAGGCGTTTGATGGGGTGTTTATTCTTCTTTTTGCGCCCTGCAGCCGACGTTGTTTGGCCATGGCGGCAGCAGTGGAGCTCTGCGACTGCGCACTTGCCATGCGTGTCTCATCTTTTGCCGCTGTTCCCTCGTTATGTTGGTGGGGGAGGAGACGAGCGAATGCGTTGGAGTTGCGCCCCAGTGGGAGAGGGAAGGCACCGACCGCTGCTGACGGCGACGGTCTTTGCTGCAGGCGATGTGACGGGAGGACGTCACCGGTGTCACAGTTAACCGAAATGGATGAGGGCCGCACTGCGTCTCCCGCCCCTCTCATCATCCCTCCGTCCACTGCAGTCACACGCCACACGCACCGCAGAGCAGCGGCGCGACCACCATCCGGATGTCTGTGAGCCAATCGGAATGCAAAATCGATGTGGACCCTTTTTCCCCGTGTTTGAGTGCCGCCGTGCCTCCTTGTGTTTCCTTTGTTGTGTATGTCGTGCGCGCATGTTGCCGCTGCCTGCTGTGCAATGCCGACTCGCGTGAACGAGGAACGATGCTTTGACTGCTGGCGACCGGCGAGCTCTCCACTCCACTTACGCACCAACAACACCAACAACACCTTTCGGACGCGCTTGATGGCCGGCGGTCGTAACGCTGCCACGTGGTCTGCCTCGGCTCTTGTGTGTCGTGCACGGCATCGGGACCGCCCCGCGATGCAGCCACTCGGTAACAGGAGCGGTGCCAGTGGTCATGTGGCTTTTTGCCGGGATTCCGCCACTCGGCACGGTGGCTGTACGGGGCTGTGTGGGCGGTGGGAAAGGCGATGGTGTCACTGACTTGATTGCGTCTGCGCTGCTTTGCTTCGGCGGCTGTACTGTGATGGTTATTGTGTATGACCGGATGCCTCTGCGTGCCACTGTGTTTGGTTACTGTTGTTGCTGTCTTTTTTGACCGTGCAGTTAGAGATACTTTTGCTTGACCAGTACAACTATCGTTTCAAGGTGTTAGGAATTACTTGCAGTATTAGGATTAGCAGTAGTGGGATAACTATCTGGCGGAATCGTGTCACTGGATTCGCCATATTCAGGAAGGGATTTGCTAGGCAGGAGTTATGGTCGACGGGGCGAGTGCGACACGCCACGACAGCCCTGTTGATACGTGTCTGGGTTGGTGGATGCGGTCTGCGGTGGGTGCGTGTCCGCGCAGCCGGCACCGTGTGCAGCGCAGGGCCATTGCGGCTGTGCGTGTGGCGCTGCTTGTTGTGTTGGCGCTGGTTGCTGCTGCGGCGTGGATGCCCGCGGTGCATGCGGTGGTGTTGCGACTGCGGGGCGGCACGGTGGACAGAGCCATCACGGTTGGCCGCGCCGTGGACACGGTGCTGATGGACGGCGTGCACATCACGAACGGCGTGGCTGTGGTGCTCGACGTGCCGGCGATGCTTCCCGGCGCGCTGCGCATCGAATTGAGGAACTGCGTGTGCGACGGCGGTGCGCAGATCTACGTGCGGGGCTACAGCGGCGAGCCGGCGAGTGACCGGAGCCTGGAGGTGAGCGTGAGCGGGCTGTCCGGGAGCTACTGCTCGCTCGTGTTTGTGCACAACCTGCCGGCACACACGAACGTGACGGTCCGTGACTCGACGATTGTGACGGCGGGGCCGATGCGCTACTCGCAGCTGAGTGGGCTGACGGACGCGGTGGCATCGCCGCTTGTGCTGCATGCGACGTCGCTGTTGCAGACGCAGCTGCGTGTGAGCAAAACTGTGCTGAGGTCTTTGCAGGCGGGCGGGTCGGCGGTGTACGTTGGCGGCGGTGTGGACCTGCTGTCGAGTGCGGTGGTGCTTGACGGCGTGTCGCTGGAGGCGTCGGGCGGTCCGACCGCGTCCGCGATGCATGTGGCGTCCTCGTCGCGTCTCAGTCTGTGGAGCCACTCGGTGTTCTCCGTGACGAACGTGTCGGTTGTGAGCAGCGGCGGCGGCATTGTGCTTGGAGAGCGCCTCGCGGTGTTTTATTCGGTGCTGCGCTTCGTGGGCGTCGAGGGGCCTGTCGCGTCGTCGCTGGTGCGCTGCGACGGTGGGACGGTCGGTGCCGGCGGGTGGCTGGAGCTGCGCGACGTGTGGGCGGTGGGCGAGGCGTCGTCTGTGGCGTCGCTGTTGGGTGTGACGCTGAGCGGCGGTACCGTGTCGATTGTGCGCTGCGCTGCCACTGGCGCGACGCTTGTCTCCGGGCTGGCGATCACGAGCGGCACCGTGACCGTGCAGTGCAACCGTGCCGGCGGCCGGGTGCTGCAGAGCGGCGGCGACTACCGCATGGCCGGCCTGCCCTCCGTGAGCGTGGTGCCGTGCGACGGCTGTGCGTCTGCGTTGGCGTGCTTTGATGCGCTGACGGCGTCTTTCGTCGACTGCGTGTGCGGCTGCCGCGACGGCGGTGTGGGCGAGGCGTGCCTGCCGTTCGACGTGCCGCCTGCGAGGTCCGGCGGCGGTGGTGGCGGTGCGCAGGACTGCGTGAGTGGCGTGACGCTGACGGAGTCGGTGACGGTTGGCGGCGGGCGTGCGAGGGCGTGCTTCGACTCGGTAATGTTCAGCGGGCCGATCATCGTGGCGGTGGACTTGCGCTCGATGGACGCGTTCGCTGACGCGCTGAACGTGACGCTGCGCCACTGCGTGCTTGAGGGCGGTGCGCAGCTGCGGATTGGCGGTCTCAGCGAGAGCACGGCGCGCCTGATGCCCCACGCCCTCGTCAACATGACGAATGTGACGTCGCTGGAGGGCACGATTGTGCTGCATGGCGCGATGCCGCTGCACTCGACTGTGTTGCTGGCGAACTCAACGCTGCGCGCGACGGTTGGCGGGTCGCAGTACGTGCCGACGACCCGTGGCCACGAGGGATTTCGGTACGACCCCGCGCTTGTGCTGGACGGTGTCCGGCTTTTGTCGACGCGGTTTGTCATGACGCGGTCGACGCTGGTGTGTGGCGGGGGCTCGTGCGCTGCGATTCTCGTGGAGCGCGCCTTTGTTGTGAACCTGTCCAGCGCCTTCTACATGGACAACTGCGCTGTCAGGTCGCAGATGCACGTGATGTACGCTCTTGCGTCGGATTTGCGTGTTGGCGGCGGCTCCGTGTTCTCCATACAGAACAGCTCGTGGAGTGCGCCGAGCACCGAATACGGCAAGGCCGCGTGTGTGTTTGAGGATATTGTTGTGGCTGGCGG